TCTACTCTCTCTACTCTCTCTCTACTCTCTACTACTCTCTCTCTCTCTCTCTCTCTCTCTCTCTCTCTCTCTCTCTCTCTCTCTCTCTCTCTCTCTCTCTCTCTCTCTCTCTCTCTCTCTCTCTCTCTCTCTCTCTCTCTCTCTCTCTCTCTCTCTCTCTCTCTCTCTCTCTCTCTCTCTCTCTCTCTCTCTATCTATCTCTTCTCAAACTAAACCATTACAATATGTCTCCTCCGTCACATTTTAGCTGAATTTCATTGATTTTACGCGTGTTTGTATTTGTGCACTATTTCTTCCGTTACAGTTAATTTTAGAACAAGGTGGTGGTTCATCTGTGCGCGTGCGGGGGGGGGGGGAGGCAAGCCACCACCAGGTCGCAGCACATGTGAAATGAGGTGAGAGGGCGCGGTCTTTCGATTCTGCAGTATGGCTTTCTCCTCAGCCTCGCAGTAATCCACCTGATAATGCTCATCCTTATACAAACTCATTCGAAAAGCGTGTTTAAGTTCAGCCCCAGCCATCTCTATTATGTACTCTTGATATGACTCATTAATCTGTATAAATATTACGAGGTGTGTGGTACCTATAAACGTCATATGGGGCGTCGGCTATATTTATACATGTAAAATAAGAACATAATTAAGTGAGATGAACACCAGGTATATCAATATTTGACATACTAGCGTCGCCCGCACATCGAGTAGTAGTTCTATACTATATATAATATAAAGAGCTAATAATACCTAGGTATTATTAGCTCTTGATACTATACTATATGTCCACTATGGGCAACTACATTTCCCGATTGTCAAATTTTCTGCATTTTCTGACCCTCATATCTCTTAATGTACCTAATAAGATAACCATCTTATCAATACGACATTTTAGTTAAATACTACGCTCCATTTCGAAAAAAATTTAAATGATGGCAACTAAGTAAAACGTTTTAAAGGTGAAACGTTAAGCACTCGATTCGAAATCTGACAAAAAAGATAAATAGAGCAGATATGACCTGAATCGTCATCGCTACGCTTATAAGAAGTTGCTCGAAGATGCCATTTTCGCGTGGCGCAATGCAATCAATCGAGGACGTCGGCGAAGCATTCTGACGTTCCGAGAGACGGGCGACAGACGACCAGACCTCGTGCTTTCTGCGCACGGCAAGTATCACGGCGACGGCGCACCGTTTGACAGCCCCGGTAACGTGCTCGCCCACGCAGCTCTTCTCTACGTGAGCGGTAGAGACGACGGCAAGGTACACATAGACCGAGATGAGCCCTGGCAGAGGGGCACCTTCGAAGGAAAGGTAATATCAGCACATGTTGTTGATATGAAACCATCAGATGCGTTGTGGTGTTAGTGCGAGCGTTTCCACTCGTTTAACTTTCCTTAAGTGACTGAACTGTGAAATGTTAGAACTGAGAACAACATCTAAATGAGAGATGATATACTCTATACTATATAAGTAAATTAATAAAAAGCAGTGATTACTGAATCATATCGTCCTTCTCATCGCATTTCCAGGTACTAAACTACACCATTCTGCACGAGGTCGGCCATTTGCTCGGGTTACAACACTCAAGAGTCTTTAATTCCGTCATGTTTCCGTTTATTGGGAAAAGGCATATTGGAAGGTCTCCCCACCGACTACATGCGACAGACGTGCGTCTCATTCGACGTAAATTTGGTAGGTTCGACTCGTTTATAGTTAATAAACTTGATTTCTGATTTATTCTATAGGCAGTTTAATTCTTCTTCTTCTTCTTCTTCTTCTTCTTCTTCTTCTTCTTCTTCTTCTTCTTCTTCTTCTTCTTCGTCTTCTTCTTCTTTTCATTATTATTATTATTATTATTATTATTATTATTATTATTATTATTATTACTTTATTATTAATATTATAATCATAACTATACGAAACGTCGTTTTTCTTAGGAATACGATGGTGCGATTCCGATAGAATTCCTGTTCGACCAAGGCTGGTTGATCGGCAAAGAATAAACCGAGAAAAACATAGTCGTGGATAACAATGACAAAGAAGTCTACGGTTGTCGGCAGGGTAACGGGCGCGTTAGTCACGCGCCGCCGGATATCGGGCGCACTACGATCAATGTGCCTTATACACATTTCAACACGTGAACGCGCCTGCGAGACAAAGGATAACGAGACGAACTAAGTACTGATTTATCAAGCAGATACTCTTTGACAGCTTTTACGAGAGAGGATTCACCTACTCTGTGCGCAGCGCCGATCAGTTGGAATGTGAGCGGTGCCAAACACGTAGCTTATTCGATATAGGTTACACGAACGTAAGCAACACCCATGACACAATAGACCCACAACTATAATGAGGTTTTCTCCTGAATTCGTTATTAACATTTTGGGATCGTGCATCATGTGTACGCAGGCTAGAATGTTCACACGTACGGTAATATGGCCGTGCGGAGGAGATATATCTATAACTGGTTGGCGATACGTACGGTTATGTAAGAGTGATCCCTTCGTCTTAATCTGGAGTTGGTATGCGGTCACTCAGTTCAGATTCCGGTCAAGAGGTTCATGTCTCAGTCAAACACGTTGCGTGGATTCCCACCCAAAATATGACATGCGGAACATATCTGCGCATGATCAACATGACCACTGCGTAACATCCGGATAGACTGAATTTATCATTTATAAATTTTATACACATTAATTATTCTCGAGTTAATAAATTAATATGTTACACGAGAGCACTATACTCTATACTATACGCATGCGATATACTATTTGCGTCAGATGTAGGCATCATTTACTATGATACATTGCTTAAAATCATTGCTCAGTACAAAACTAGTCAGACTAGTATTATTATGTTGTAATGTGAGTATTATGAATAGTTGGCCTATATCCTTCAAAATTTAGTGATTTTGCAAAATGGGATGGATCGTGTATGTAAGTATGACTGACTGGAACAGTGTACTTTTATAGATAACAGCTTAAATATCTGTGACCTACAGGCAGACATATGCTGGAATAAAACGACAATAGTGTTTGCAAATAAAACGTGATTCCGAAAAATACCGTCGCTTTAGCATTGTATGCCATTATATAGTTTATTATTTATAGATTTTATATTAGAAACCTTGGTGCACTTAGGTCAAATTTCAGAGGGCCGTAAAATAAAATATACATGTTTATGTAGCTATACGAGGTATGCAACTTTAGACATGTAATTGACGCGCATTATTTCATATACATCGTCGGGAGTAATCAATGCGCTGATTAGTAATAATTACAATTGTAATTGTAAGCGTACTTGTTTTCTATTGATGTACTATTACGGGACATATTACAAAAGCCATACTGCTTTCCTATCGGACGTAGAAACGTACTGATGCGCTTGTATATACGCGTGTCAAGTAAACAAAAACGACGTTTTATACGTTCACAATTATGCCAGTATTATCGAGATCTGGCCGTTGGAGCTTAGCTCGGGCAGTCACAGCCAGTCGTTTTTTAAGATGTTATTATGTCGATGGGCCAGCGAGGATTGATCACTGATATTTACACAGGACACGTGCGTGACTGTCTGCTTAACGCAATCGTGTCACTTTCTACTCGGCAAACAAAAGTAACGCTCATCTTAATGATTAAGGTCAAGATGATTGGAAGCAACACCGGCGTAATACATTCGACAAATACCTAAGTTAACGAGTATAGGTTACGAAAGCGACAGTCCGCGAATGCGAAGTACAGACGATAACTTTTATACATGATTTTCTTTATATATCGCGTCTTATATAAACGAAACGGACCTTTATATACATGCGCCCTGAAAGCTTATCGTAAAATCCTGTATGAATGCATATATATATATATATATAATACAAAATAATAACAAAATAATTACTGTCAAAACATAGCTAAAAAAAAATCTCGATGCCACGCATCGTTTTTGTTGCAGACACGCGTTTGCCCTGGTAATTTTCTCCTGACAGGCTTATTTGCTCAGTATTCACCTATATGCAAATAAATTTCTCCGTTTTACTGAAAGAAAGGCTTGATGTTTCCGAGCAAAGCGAAACACGCGGGCAATTACCGCGCGCGTTTAAAATCGGTGCTAAATGACGCTGTAGCGCACTCACGGACGAGTTGCTGGGCCGCGTTACAATTGGCTGGCTGCAACTTTCTAAGTGGGTTAGCAGTTCAGCTCATCCGTTCACTCTGGCTGACAGTTGTTGCCCTCGAGTCACATGCTTGTCCAGCCGCCAGCACTCGCATGCAACGCACACGTGAGCGTCACCATCCAAGGGATTCGAATGCTAATCTGTGAACGACGAATGATACTTATAGTTGTGCAATGCATTGACCATATCTACACACGAGATAACCATAACATCAGCGAGTCTGACGGCCGGGTGCGCTGCGAAGCGAACTTTGCGATGGTGGATCACGTTGATTAGATATATTTTGGCGATGCGATAGTACTATTATTATAGAGAGACGCAGTCATATTCCATGGCTATAGGATTACGTACACGGTACACGGCATTAGCTTATCAATACGGGTATCATCCTCGCTGCTAAACCATTTGCGTATGTGCGTAAAATATTGTCAACAGTCACACTCGAGTGTATAATCCCACGAAAAAATGTGCTTCATATATGCGAGGACGCCGCTTGTGCTTATTGTGGTATTAACCGCATTACACGGTGAACATATAACCAACGTTAATACTATGCCCGTGTATCGAAAGACAGCAGAGCATCTATTCGGCGTAGGACACGGAGCTGAAAGGTTTCTAATCGTAAGTACTTCTAGTCGTAAGTAATAAATGTTATTGCTGATATAGCGTGCATTTAATCGATTCTATAATGCAACTTCAATCTATCGCCGTTTGCGTGTATAATATCAGTTTTAATTAAATATGCCTGCTTTAGAATGTCGATATGACAAAAATGTGTTGGTTAAGACATAGCATGCAATTACCGTGAATATATATATATATATATATATAATATTGGCGGATTACATAACGTGGTATATAGTAACAATAATGTTTGGACATGATTTATATATGTCATGTAACTTAGACGCACACAGCAGGCTTACGTTGACCTTTATGTTACCGCTTATAAAAATGCGATGCACGCTTGCCACATAGGGAAGTACGTTTTTTATAACAGTTCAAATAACTTTAATGCGTGTCACTTGAATCCTTAAACTGGTTTTTATATGAAGCATGCGAGCATTACTCCCCATGCAGGTCACGCGTGTTTGACCGGAGTAGCCAATATTTTTGTGATGATTCACTAAATAAAAATAATATAATATTAGATATGTTCAAATGGTATACTACTTAAAACACTTGTTGTTCCTCTTACTATTTCGTTATCTTATTCCTTCATCTAAAGATGTTAAACCAAGGATTACTTACTTATTCCAAGGAAGCACGTCCGAGTTGATTTGTGGAGTGCGTTGTAACGCAATAGCAGACTTTCAATGCACATTTCCGCTCGTTACAGAATGAACTCAACGCAAAGCGCTACTTGCGGACATTCCGGCCGTCTGCCCGTCATGTGTACCAGTCGCTCAGGTAAACGATTATAGAACAGGCATTTTAACCGCACGTTGGTCTGCCGCGACAGTGAACATACACGAACGGGCGCAGTATTGAAGAACCCAAATACTATAACAACTGCATGCGAGCGGCACACTTCCATTGGCATTATGCACAGTGACAGTTCTTACTCACTTGGGTGTTCCGGTCGTGGAGAAACGAGTTCTGCGTTTTACGGAGGTGGCAAGCAAATTAACTAGATGCAACGATGTGTTTGTAACCGCGTTTACACGCAGTGAAATTTTCCGGGTTATGCATTCATACCCGGTGAAGATAGTATCGATGTAGCATAACTTATATTAAACCAGCGTAAACGAGAGCAACGAATACGTCGCTGCTATCTTATTAGAATCGTAACGCGAAACAAGAATATAATTGTTACGGCTAAATAGCAGTTGACATTCCTACACGGGGCAAAATCACACACTAGCTTCACTGGATTGGGAAAGATGTTGCGATTGTTAGGTTTCAAATGCATACCGCTGCACAATAGTATTTTCGTTCTTACAGGGCTTACCAAAACGACAACGACCTTCCCGCGACGGGACGTTTCGACCAAAAAACTCAGGAAAGTATGCACGAGTATAAGTGTGGGGACAAAGGTATAAGCAGCACGAGCAAGGACGAATTCGACGACTACGACTATATCGACGACTACCAGCTTAGATTTAAACGAGAGATCAACGAATACAGCGATAACGTCACTTATAGTAACAACTCAACAGTCGATGAAGCCAATCTCGAGCAAGAAATCGGAAAGAGCAGTAAGTAAATATAGCTCTCTCGTTCCCTTGCTTATCGCTTCAGATCGTAGTGTTCGAATGGATTTTCAAAGTTTTTGTTGTGTTCATAGAAGGGATTAAGATCTTGACTCGTTCTACTGTGTTCTAATTCTAGGCCACACTAATTACACATACCGGTATAGACCCGTGAAAGCTCGTAGTAAACGCAGCGGTGTGTGAAGCGATATATTCGCATGACGGAACACTATTTGCAGCCTATTTATATAGTCAATTCTATACCAAATTTGAGAAAGCGACAAATAATGGTACACACGTGACTCGTTACGGTAACGCAACAAAGATTTGTCCCAAATTCTATCATTTAAGCATTGTCATGGCTGCAAACGTTTCTCGCAAAACTAGAGCGTTGTGCATAGCCGAGACAAATATGTGAGTGCTTTGCACGAGGATCTTTTATTTATAGTAACGTGACGTTGTACGCTTATTATAATATCAGGAGTACGTGCATTAGAGACTCTAATCTTATATGGTGCAACAGACAGTGGCGTAGCTAGGATTTTTCCAGCGGGGGGCACTGGGGGGCCTTACATTTTCGTGGGGGGGGGCACAATATATAACTCTTTCTTTGTATTTATTACTGTTCTAACGGCATGTTTTCAATTCAATTTTTTTTTTATCAAGCATGACTTTTTATGTGGGGGGCGCACCTGGGGGGCACAGCAAATTTGTGGGGCACGTCGCCCCCCAGGCCCCCCGTAGCTACGCCCCTGGCAACAGAGTATTAGAGGTGTCATAATATAGATGACACTCCTGATAATATTACACATACACACATGCCAGCGCGCGCAAGCAGCATATATATATTCTATTCTATGATATTATACAATGCACCAGAAAGAAGCAATACAATATGGGCGGATTTTATACATTATATGATATGATATATTATTGAGATATTCTTACCAGATATCATCTGTCGTAAATGCATTTTCCGTACTTCCTTCATCACGCGGCCGGTTTTTGTGCAACTTGGCATGAAATATCACATCAAACCCATGTATAAATCTCTAATCTGCCGCGGCTAGGCAATTTTTATAGGTTAGTGACAAATGAGAGGCTTGCACAAGTAAAAAGTACGGCACGCAAACTTACTGGCTGCATATGCTAATCGCCTGCAAGTCATATATCGCCTGATACCTGCTGATTCTGAAACTCTTTTCAACGCTAGTGAGCCAATACTTGATAACAATTCGTACGCGCATGCTGCACATTAACGTTTTGAGGAAAAAATAACTGCCGTTAAAATTTTCTTCGCTCAAAGCATTAGAATTAATTGAGTCTGTAATCACTGCACATGAAAGTTACGGCTCTGTGCGTGTATATAATGTCTGATATCTGACTGTTATAGAGAGAGCAGCGGATCCTTATGACAACAGTCGATGGTGGTTTATATGTGATTTGTTGTGGGAAACGAAAAACCAGGAGGATACTCAACATACCGTTAGCTACTTGGAAACAAGGTAATCCCTCGTGTAATACAAATTAAACTACATCTGCGTGTTGAACTAGTGGACAAATATTTACTGCGCAATATATGTAATTATTGGCTTCATATTTCTTCACACGTTAATTGTTCAGTAATAAATAATAATAGTAATTAGTCATGCGCCACATAATCACTCCTTTTATGCAACATCATATTATATAAAAGATGTTCATATAGCATATTATGCTACATCGTCTTATATGATCAGATTTTCTCATAGCATATCATGCTACATAGTCTTATATGATCAGATTTTCTCATAGCCTTTCATGCTACATCGTCGAGTATTCTCATTATCAGCATTCATCAAGCAGGTATTCTCATGAAACATCGTGTTACATAATTAGGTTCACCATTAGTGCAACACGCTACGTAATCGAGTACTCGTCCTAAGATACAGGTGGCGCTAGATGTTAGCTTTCGATCATCACATGTTGTATAGTTATTTGACACCACCACGCCATGTGTCGTCTTCAGAGTGTGAGTCATTTTATCAGCACATTGCGTACACCAGCACTCCGAGCTCCTGTTATTCACATCATATGCATGTTGGTTTTCTCTTTACGGGGAAAGCTCGGAATATTAAGCATCCCACTATTGCACCATGCACGAGCACATGCGCGTCAATTACAAATAGACTCAATTACCGACATCTACCGACAATATCGTACAAGGAAACATAGACATATGTACCAACTATCGTACCTAACAATTCTAAACCTATTTTACGTTTGACATCGAATAGGATATAGCACGCCCTACAACTTAAAAGTCGATTAATTAACGTCAAAATTTAAACAGCCAATTATTTGAAGTCAGAGGAACCACCTTTACATGAAAAAATAGGGAGTCCCTCCTAGAAGGGGTACACGGTCCCTTGATTCCTTAATGTTTATGCATTTTCTCCTTTGTTCCCCATTAATAAAATAACTTGTTCTCGAAAACGTTTTGGTTACTGTTCTATAGCACACACACAGGCACGCACGCACACACACAGGCACATGCACTTGGAGCATTTCAATACAATATAATGCTAAATAAATACGAAATCTATTTACTACCAAAGTCTTAATGTTTCTTTACTCTCTTTCACCTATTATTGCCGACAAGCCGTGCTGCAAATGCTCCAGCCACTGCAACACACGCCCACCACACGCACGCTGCTGCACGCTACTGCACACTTACACATAGATATAGAGTGTGCATAATAATAGGTGAAAGAGAGTAAAGAAACATTAAGACTTTGGTAGTAAATAGATTTTGTATTTATTTAGCATGCTCCAAGTGTCTGTGCACACAGGCACACACGCAGGCACACACGCAGGCACGCACGCAGGCACATATGCAGGCACACACGCAGGCACGATATTTCAACCAATCATCCAAATGCTATTCAACCCCTTCAGTAGTAGTAATAAGTAATAAACTTGAGTTTAATATACATGCGCGTACATGGTTAAACGTGAAATACCTATAAAGCGTTCAACAAATGCATGGCTATACGTTTGTAAAAAAAACGCTGTTTAGAGTTGATAATCATTTCATGCTAGATCCTAAAAAAATACCACTATAATGAAACTTTCATCTACGGCATTTTTGTTCGACCAACGTATAATTACTACAAAAAATGATAATTTAGTAAACGAACCTAAACTTTTATGGAACCAAATTTCACAACCTTATTTTAAATGTTACGTAGTGGTTAATAAAAAGTTTTAGGCAAACGTTTGTTAAGAACCGACATGTTACGTTACTATCAACGTTTAGTGAACGTTAATAAAACAATTTTGGCAAACGTTTCTCAATAACTTAAATATAACCTTATTACAAACGTTTTACTAATCGTAATAAAACGTTTTTAACAAACGCTATTAAATAACATAAATTTAAATAAGCAGTTCATGTTGCATTTAGTCTGTCTTCTTTGTTGGTTTTTGTGCATTCTATATATATAAAGTTGTTCAGTCGATTGTGTTCGCGCATAACTAGAAAATTCCGCAGCCTAGAAGAAAACTAAATATATTTTCAGAATCAGCACGTCTGGGAGATGGTTCTGGCTCAAACAAAAGTTAAAAATTTATAAAAATTTTATTCATCAATAGATGGCGTACAGATTATAGCATTATACATCACAAACATGTGAATCCATGGTGCATAACCATAACGGCTCAGTAGCCGAATGCATACAGCATCGGATTCCTAAACCATTGATTCTGGGTTCGAATCCCACCTCTTACGGTAATAAACAGTTCAATTTGCAAAGTCCACTCTCACTCTCTACCCCTCCTACTATTAACCTTAGAACCAACGACCCGTAGGACCAACGACCCGTAAGATTATAGACCAGTACCCAATATTTTCATCTTGTGTTCCCACGATCCCGAAAATTATTTTCCAGTTTCTTTAATCCCCAAAAATATTTACCACTGTTCCCATATTTGTTTGGTATAGTAGAACCTCGCTAAATTGAACTCCCAAAGGAAGCAAAAAATGGTGACGCTTGAGTGAAAAGGACCTATAATTGTGGACCCTAATCGTCCCTACAGCACACGATGTTGAAATGACCCTGAAATACTTCAAAGTTTATTGTAAACAGTCTCAGAAAACTGTGAAAAAAATCGCAAAGATGATAAATTTGAGTTCCTTTGTTCCCAAAAATCTAATCAGCAGTTCCCTTGTTCTCTGAAAATAATTCGACAATATCCCCTGTTCGCGGAAAGTTAATGCTCTTGTTCTCTTGTTCCATAAAACCCTTGGGATGGGCGTAATAGGGTTGACAGTATATACAAGCTGGGATTTGCTTTATCACAATAATTGTTCGAATGAACTCAGATTGCCCTCTAGGATCTTAGCCAGTTTTATTAATCTTCTGAATCCCTCTCTAAAAAGCCTGGAGAATATGATGTGTCTTCAGATACCTAAATCTCTTCCACTTTCAGCTCTGCTAGATGTGATTATGCCTACACATATGGTGTCATTTCTGTATGCTGTTGTCGGTAGCTGTCAGTAGTTGTCGGTATAGTTATCGGCGTAGTAACAATCAGTAGCTTTTGGTGGCGTTCAGTGCGTAGTATATGACTATGCACATCTCACGATTCATCACTATAATCGTTTTTCCTCAAAGTTCTCGATCATTATCATTAGTTTTTTCTTCTTCTAAGAGTCGTGGGTTCATGTCCTATATATATAACAATAAACGCGTCGCGACCTGTTCGGAATTTTTCCCAGCCATTTTGTGGAATTTTTAATCCCTGTAGCTGTTCTATTTGCTAACACTCCCGAGCGCGGTTATAATCTGTGCGTTTCTTGTATTCGTTAGAGCTTTGTTCAGATCAGCATTGCGGACTTGGCTGCGCGCAGTGAATTACAATAGGCGTAAGAGTATTCTCACGATAACGGAGAACAGAAACTCGGGGAGGAAGGCAGATGTTAGCATCAGCTTCAAGCAGAGAATTCATGGCGATGGGAATCCATTTGATGGGAAAGGAAAGGTAATACGTACACGCATGCACGCACGCACGCGCGAACACACGCACGACCGCACACATGCACGCAAGAGCGCACATGCGCGCGCACACACACACACACACACACACACACACACACACACACACACACACACACACACACACACACACACACACACACACACACACACACACACACACACACACACACACACACACACCACACACACACACACACACCGCACACACACACACACACACACACACACACACACACACACACGCACACACGTACACATACACGCACAAGCGGTCGCACACATGCACACACGTGCGTACGCATGCTCAGAAGCATATTATACACACACATTTTACACTCGCGTACATGCACGCACTAATTCAACTTTAACCTACTTCGTCTTAGGTGTAATTAGTTCTTTTGACAGAAAACCCTTATAGAAAATCAAACTAAAATTTATTCTGGAATGAATTCGATCAATAACCCCGACTCCTCACTCAAAAATGCTCTTTCTTAGTAGCAATATAACTGCCCGATAACTGCACGCTTATCTTTGTCTGCAGGTGCTCGCGCACGCCTTTCTGCCATTTATCAGTGGTAAATGGGATGGCGAGCTTCATTTAGACAACGAAGAGGACTGGGACTTGCAAACATTAGAAGGTCGACTTATGAGCTATGTGATTCTGCATGAGACCGGCCATCTGTTTGGACTAAAGCATTCTAAAGACTTCAACGCAGTTATGTATCCATACATCGGCAGAAGACACGCCGGATTGAGGAGCTTACGGAACGACGATATACAGAAGATACGGGATAAATATCGTATGTAAAACGCGAGTTGATACATATCTGATTGACAAGAATATTAAGCCGTGAATAGACTAGACTGCAGGATTTAATCCTGCATCGGCGTAATTCAGACCGGACCGTGCTAAATCTCTATGCGTAAACACAAATTACTAGACCGATTAAGATATTTAGCTTTTCCTCGCTTTTCCTTCGAATGACGATCATAACTCGAGCTGAGTATTTTCGCTTAATGCAGGACATTCCGCTCTCAGTTGATCCTTCTAATTCATCTGACCAGGCGGATTATGTCATTTTTAGCTCGTCGTCGTCCCAGTAATATACTTGAATGTATATATTGCGCTTGAAAAACACAGCGGAATTTTTGTCCGGGCCGTGTACGGGATATTAGTGTTGAAGAATGACACGTATAGCTGGTATCACATTTTAAACGCGGGCATCGTTGCTGCGTTTGCTGTGCGAATGTGAATGTGTGCGTGCGCGCATGTTTGTGTGTGTGTGTGTGTGTGTGTGTGTGTGTGTGTGTGTGTGTGTGTGTGTGTGTGTGTGTGTGTGTGTGTGTGTGTGTGTGTGTGTGTGTGTGTGTGTGTGTGTGTGTAGAGAGAGAGAGAGAGAGAGAGAGAGAGAGAGAGAGAGAGAGAGAGAGAGAGAGAGAGAGAGAGAGAGAGAGAGAGAGAGAGAGAGAGAGAGAGAGAGAGAGAG